TAGACATAGCTGGACATAGCTGGACATAGCTGAACATAGCTGGACATAGCTGGACTGCGGTCAACTCTCCGCAACTGCTTAGCTAAAATCTCTGTGCCAACTCTGTGACTCATTGCTGACTCCTTGCTGACTCCGTGCCTTTCCTTTTACTTTTTTTCTTCTCTTTTTTCTTCTTCTCACTGGAGCTGCTGCTGCTTTGCTCAGGGCTTGCGGACGAACCTGGCAGGATTTGGCCCAAAGCTGCGAAAGTTTGCCGCTAGAAGTTAAATTTGGAGGATGTACCAAGAATGGACTGGAAAATTAAAAGATGTGACAAGACGTGTATGAAAATTGTATGAAAAGGCATGAAAACACATGAAGAAATTGCAGGGACACCTGGGACTTCCAGGAAATACCGAGGAAAAATGCTGCGATTCCCAGAGTGAACTGGCGGCCTTTGCTTGAAATGGACGGACCAGGAAAGCAATTAATAGATATTGATATGGAAAGATAAAAGTGGATATGTGATTCTTATATAATATATAAATATGTACATACATGCGTGCCGAACTGTATGCACCCGGTGCACAATTTTCAAGAAGAATACATTGAATAGACCTTATCTCTACAAATCGTACAAATTGGACAGGTTCAGTTGGTAGGCCAATTAAAGAAACCCAAAAAGTCAGAAAAGGAATAAGCAGCAAACAAGTTCCCAGCTGGCCACAGCAGCCGAGTGACACCAATATTTAATGTGCTACAAGACATGCGGCAAGATGCGGCAAGTGATAGGCTGAGAGAGGCTAAGCTGGAGTCAACATCGAGGTTGCACCGTCTGTGATGTCTTATTCAATCATATTCAATCATATTCAATCATATTCAACCAAGATTGCGCCGACAAAGTTGCAGAGATAAGATGATGACGAGTCAATGAGAAGCAGGCACAAAGCAGCGCACCGCTTTTATGAGGCTGTTATGAATCTCAAGTGCAAAATGAGGTGTAAATTACACCGGCATAGACCCCAGATAGAACAGGTTTCAGAAACGCGTTTTTTTGCAGTGCGAATTGGCTGCGGCAACATCGGAACTGCTGGTTCCCAAACGTTGGAACCAATGCGTCCCAATCTTAGAACCACAAGCCAACGTTCGAACCAATGCTTCCAAATCTGGAACCACAGGTTCCCCCACCGCTGTGAACAGCAGCCACAGCCACTTCGCCACCGCACTGTAAGCAGCAGCCTCACAGCAGGCCTGCACAGCACCCTGCACAGCACCTTTGCCAGACCTCGCCACAAAGTTCGCCACCGAAGACCTGACCTTTGAGAAGTAAGAACCCCTATAGCTTCCAGCTATCTGGGGAACCCTGAGCATCTATAGACATGTACAAAAACAACTCAAAGAGTCAGACTGAGTCAGATTGTTATCAGGATGCGGTTCTCACAGACAATTCCATCGCTCCTGTTGCCCGTAACTATGCAACGTGCTGTGCAACGTGCTGTGCATTGCTTCGCAACTGTCGGCTGGGTTGCTCTTCTCGCTCTTCTCGCTGCGTGCCGCCGCTTCTTGAGCTTTCATGCCAGCAATGGCTCTGGAGCCTGGCACCAAAATATTGCCAAGTCTGAACACCTGTATAAATTTGGCATGAATAAACACACACACGCACACACACACACAAGATTGTCATGAATGTATATGAATGTCATAAATCAAATTTGGATCAAGTTTAGATCAAGCTTGGATATGTTGAAATATGTTTAACGACGTGTTTAAATGGTCAAGTCGCGTCTCTTGAAGCGTTGGTTTCGTCAATTCAAGCCAACTACAATGTCCAAAAGCATATTTGATATTGCCAAGGCATGTCTTCGCGGAGATGTCTTGGCTCGTCTGGGAACTTGCCTGCAGACTTTACATTACTTTACACTCTGCAGCCCACGAAGACCGTTGGCCTTCTTGGTTGTATGTGGCACGTGGGATCTTTATGATCTTTTGTTAGATTCTGTTAGCAGCTGTTAGCATGTAAAGAAAGTATAAGAAAGTTACGATATGTTATGATTTTGTTTTGCGCCATGATCCTGGGAGCAGTGCACATCTCACTGCGAGATTCACCGAAGCCTGCATGAGGTGAAAGCCGTTTGGGCCTCGAAAGATCTAAGCACAGGAAGAAGTCAGGAAGAATTTCAACACTTTCGAGATCTTGACCGAAAAAAACTTAAATCAAGGATAATCAAGGCATTGTTTCTGTACGTTGGAGTCTGTGTGACCATTGAGTCACTGCTTTCTGTGAAGAGTTCCCATTCCTGTGTTTTTCAACTTGCCCCAGAGCAATGTTGAGCCATTTGCAGAGGGGAAAAAGGCTCTTAAGATGTGCAACTTCAAGTAACTCTATGTAACTCTTGAATAATTTTTACCGGGTGGGTTCAATCCTGATTCTCCTGAGCCAAACCTTCAACCATGGGTCAGAGATGGCATGGAAACCATGTAAGTAAAAACTCTGCAAGAGATTGTCAATAAGATTAGATTAAATCACGATAGCTCCAAAAATCAATCACCATAAAGACACAAATGTGCAAAATTGCTTAAAGATTGCTTAAAGATTGCAAAAGATTGCAAGTTTGTTTAAAAGTTTATGGCCCGGAGCCGCGGCAGTAAACTGCCACAGTCCAAGGCACGGAGCAGCGACAGGAGCACGGGGCATTGGCCAATTGGGGCCTGCGCAGCTGAAATACATGGCATCGATATCGCGATGCATCGATTGACATATACATACGCACGCGTGTATGCGTATGTATACATATAGATAGGTAGATAGACAGACAGACAGATAGATAGATAGATATGCGTGCGTGTGTGTGTGTGTACATGTGCAGTTTGTGCATTTAATTAAATCTATATGGTGATGCCGTTCTGGCCCGTGATGCTGGATTCATAAGGAATTTGGCCTCTTGCAGATATTTCAGATATTGCTGAGATATTGCTGAAGTATTGCTGAGATATGCGAGATTTTTGCCCGTCCTGGCGCTTGTGGCGCCGGGAAGTGCGCGAAGGGCGGCGTGGCAGGAGGAGGTCCTCCGAACGCACCTGGGACGGCGAGCTCCGATCCGCTCGCGTCCAGCTCCGTGACACCGTTTCATCATGAAACACTGCGATGAAAAACATGCAAACATCGTGCAAACTTGAAGCAAACTCGAGGCAAACTATTGCTTTAGCTGCCAACTGAAACATCAAAAATCGAAACATCAAACTTCACCAACCTTCAGATTCACTTTGGGATGCCATGTCTTCAAATCCATTCCTAGGATGGTCACCTTCCTCTTGAAGGATCTTAAACGTGTGTAACATCTTTGAACCGAAAACTTCCGGGGACTTCTGAGGCGCCACTGCCTTCACGGAGAAAGGAGACAACGGAGAAAGATGAGAAAGATGAGAAAGGACCGAGAAAGGAGAACAAAGTATGAACAAAAAGTATGAACAAAGTCAGAAAAAAGCAGCCGACACAACTTTCGACTCCAAATTCAGACCACCTGCCAACGGATCTGCAGTTTGCATCAATCGTGGGAATGTTACAATGTTGGAGTTTTGACGAGTTTTGAGAGTGCCTAACAGAACAGACAGAACAGTGAAAATGCGGATGCCCTCTGGGCTCAGCACCGATGCTGACACCGGGGACTCGGCCGAAACATGGCGCTCCGCCAGAAACGACCTGAGGTCACCACATCTGGCAGGCGATGGCTCAGCAGCCCGCTTCGTGACAACGACCAAGCGCCATACTGCCATACTCGTTCCATTCTTCCCATTCTTTCCATGCATCGCATTTCAGATGCTTCTGCAGAACTTCTGCATGGTTTAGAAGATATCTTGGTTTGGCAGTGAGTCAGTGTCACTCAGCTGAGACGGCGGCTCCCCCGCATCCGCATCCTGCCTGACTGCCACATCCACAGCCGCTGCAACCGCCGCAGCCACCGCAGCCGCCACATCCACAGCCGCTGCAACCGCCGCATCCGCCACATCCGCCACATCCGCCGCATCCAGTGCAAGCGCCGCATCCGCTTCCACTTTTGCTTCCCTGCCATGCTCCGACTCCCAACTGTCTCCCAACTGTCTCCCGACAATCTCCGACAGGGAGCACTCTCTCCACTACTGTGCAAGGCTTCTTTCAAAAGTGCTCTTTTTGGTAACGATGATGAATTACATGAGGATACGCACGAAGGGTAAGCTGCCATGCACAAACATCTCAAATATGGCAGCGCGCAGTCATCCCCGCACCAGGCGCTGATTCAAAATCGTTTCCACCAAGTTCCCCCTAGGAAAAGAAGAATTCACATATGATCGAGCGAATGTCACTGCTGCGGGCCAAGGATCGACAAAGCAAGAAAATGAAGATCTCATTTGTCTGCCATTAGAATGTATGCCCGAAGTGTACTTCAAAAGATTGTACCTGGTTATGGTCTTGCTGCCTTGGTCTTCCCGCGAAACAGAATAGACGAGCTTGGATTTCTAGACGTTACATCTTCCGGTAGACTGAACCAGGGCGTTGTGGAAAGTGTCATTGAACGTAAGAGCATTGGAGCGGGGAAACATGTTTGGCAAAATCCCGCTGTGACTCCCTCAAATAGCATGAGGAATATACCTGGACTCTCACATAATTTGGCAGAAGCTTTCGCCAACTGTCATTAAAGAGTAAGGCGAGTAGAGGAGGAACAAAGCGTTTTTGCCAGTTCCGGGATTTGTTCCTCTGCTGGCAAGGTGATCTTACCTGTTGGTCCTACATGGTGGGTCATGGTGGGTCATGGTGGTGCCTACCAAGCTCGCTGTTCTGAAAGGTCATCACAGCAAGGGTTCGGAATGTTCCGCTGCTCAGTGGATAGAGTGTTGCGTTTTTTCGGAAGCGGTTACTGGTCCTACACCACGACAGTAGCCTGTTTGCATCTCTACTTTCTAAAATCTTAATCTGTGCATCATCGACGTTGCAAAGCAGAAGAAATTGCGTGCTCACAGGCATCTTAGCGTGCACTGAAACGTATTGAAACGACCTAGCCGCACAAAGGCTCCAGCGATACAATAGAAACAAATGCCAAATGCAAATGAAATGGGTCACCTGCGCCGTAAAATACTCAAAGGATTCTGGCAGCCACACTGAGCACATACTGTTGCATCCAGTGTCGTAACCCGCACACTGCCATGGCTAAACATGCAAAGCAAGCTGGCTCCGGAGTGTAGCCTGAGCAAATGCCGAGCATATTACTCTGCACAAACAAAGGTTAAACATGGTTAAACGGTTAAACAACGGCATTGCTTCTCTGTGGAGTGGTCCGGATGTGGTCGGGCACGTTGCTGCATCTACCTTACAAGTCCACCCAAGTTCACCCCACCTCGGTTGTACGACATCGGTGCAATCTGCCCATCAAGCGGCCGAAGACATGTTGCCTGGCACACTTTCAACTGTCAGAAACTTCACTTTCAACTTCAATCTGTCGACATCTGTCAATTCGGTTCTCAGAACTATCCACAGGTTTCCAAAGTAAGTTGCGAGTTTCGGAGAGTTTCGGAGAGCCTGACACTGCCATAACTGCCATAACTGCCATCACTTCATGTGTCGCACTGCGTTCGCCTTTCCAGTCCTCCCGTGGTTTCCCGCCTGGGGTTTGCCATGTAGGCCCCGTTGCAGCACAAATTGCACAACGGTTCCAGCAATATTTGCAGTCCTCCAGATATCTCCAGATGCGACCGTGGACCGTGTCCAAAGGGCACAGTTTGGAAGTTTGATACAGTTTGGACATGGAAAGAAAGGCCAAAATTGCGAAAGATGGCCAAGGGATGCGAAAGGAACAACCAAAACGGCGAAGGAAAGAAAAAAACAAAACAAAAAAACGTCAATGGACTCAAACTCGTCCAACAGACATCAACAGACTGGACGCAAACGGCTTCATTATGGTTCACAGTCTGCTCTGTTTGGACCGCCCTCCTTAGGCCATCTTGCAAGCTCTCCCGGGCAAAATAGACATCGTGATCGACATCTGCACCTTTCGCACTTGTTTGAAACGCCGTGCCTCTGTGTATCCAATGTAACTTCGTTCTCTTGTGTCCACTGGAAGCCCACTGCGAGGGCAACATAGGAGAGGCAATGCACTGGAAGCAAAATAGAATAAAACATAATATAAATCATAATAAGACATGATAAAGCTAGCCATATGTTATACCGTTATACCTGTTCTCCGTGTTATTGCTACTGTATTCATCAGTGCCCAAATTGGAAATCAATCTCGTGTTTTGCACGACTCAGCCGCCGACATAAGATGAAGCCGAAGCCCTTTGCACTGTAACTTTTCACAGTGCCCGTGAGAACTGTACCTGAAACAACTCATTCCTCCTTTCCCCATTTCCCCATTTCGCCGAACATCTATAGAATTCATAGATCCCAAATGCTTCCTCCAAATCCATTCATGCCTGCCAATGATCTAATGTATGTCGGCAAAACTCTCCGCGGTATTTGCACAGACTGCTAACATTGCAACATGTTTGATAACATGTTTGTGTTCAAAAGATCCATATAATACGGCTGATATATAGCGACAACTCAGATAACGCCTTTAACAATACAAAAATGTGAACGCTTTGCTCGGAAGCTGGCCCAGTGGAGGAGGTCGGTGTCCGCTTGGAGCAGACCTTGGATGAGGCACAATGCCTCTACCCGAGAACGAAAAGAGAACAGACATGTGCGCGTGTGTGTGATTAACTGTGTGAACACATGTGAACATGTGCATGTGTGATGTTAGTCTGAACTTATGTGAACATACGTTAACATGCATGTAACGTTGTCTAACCTGGTGTAACCTGATCTTAGGAGCGAACATGCTATAAGCTGCATTAAACTGCCAAGGTACATAGCACCTATACGCTGCGTTACTAAACACCACTGTGCCGGATTTGTGCCGGATGCCCTGGACTGTTGGACGACTGTCGGACGACTGTCGGACGACTGTCGGGCGACTGTTGGACTCCCTTCGTGTTTCTCGTTGTTTCGTTTGTTTCGTTTGTTTCGTTTGTTTCACAGAAATCCACCGTGATGACACCATTTCATACCAGGCGAACACATTCAGAGTCAACAGAGTCAACAGAGCCAACAGAGACCCAAGCGAATGCGATGGTCCAGACCCCCCTTGCTGGAAGGGGGAGGGGCTCCCTTGGCCCCCTCCAAATGGTGCAAACATCACGACATCGGACTACTAACGCGGCCAACTGAAACCAAACAGTACGAAGCTGCGGAGATGGAAAGAACATGAAAGAACTCATCAAACAATGTCAAATCATTTGTCAAATCATTTGTCAAACAGATTCAAACAGGACCAAAATTTGAACACAGCCGAGCACAGCCGACGGCAAAATGATGCAAAATGCAGGTGAAGTGGAGCAGCCCAAATCAAAGGTGGCGAGAACCGTAATGGCAAGGCGGTTCGATGCGGTTCAATGCGATTCTCTCCACTGATCTTCAACGTCGCATGAAGCAGTGGCCTTGGAGGCTGTGGAGATTGAAGACAGTATTGAAATCGCATCTTCATGATAATAGCCGAAGGACGGCAAGGAAAACTTACGCAAGCATCAGGAGTAAACGACAGGAGATACAAAAGAGACATACAACAGAGCAAGAGAGAGAGAGAGAGAGAGACAAAGATAGAGAGAGAGAGAGAAGGAAAAAAGGCTCCAATACCATCCAGAAGTCAAGAATACTTTGCCAAAACAAGCACGAAGATTGCAATAGCGGCTGCAGGTGCATGGAATCATTGAATTTGCATGATGCTGGCTAGTCTTCACTGGTGGTTGCTGTATATTGCTCTACTTTTCTTACTTTACAAGGTGTGTTACCACTCTTCGCCGACGTCTCGTAGTGAGACATTGAGCTTTGCTTAAAATTTCTTCGTTGTTGAATCCTTTCGGAGCCAACTTCGTGAAACATGGGCTAAGGATCACGGCTTCGGCCGTGCATTGAGCCACATCTTCGTTAAGATCAGTCAAACCGCTTCGTCAAAACACAGCAAGACACCGCAAACGAAGAGGCATGAAAAATATGACAATTGATATCAAAATTATTAAATCTGACATTGACATGAACAAACGTCCAGAGAAGGTTATAGATTCGGTGACGCAGTCTGACAGAGTGCTGCAAAAAAATAATAACCCCAAAAAAAAGTCTGTACATCATTGCAAACATAACACAGCCAGGGCCCTTGGGGCCCTTGGGGAACCTCGAGGCACAGGCCCTCAGAATATGCGTCGTCTGACACATCTCTGACAGATCGTCACATTGATCTGTGCTCTAGCGCTGCTTTTGGCCCTTTAGCGCTGCTTTAGCGCTGCTTTAGCTGGTAGACATCACCGCCACGGTGGCTCTCATCATGCTATTGTTCATTTCATCACTGCCATCTCGAAGCCCCCGGTCGTCGCTAATGCCACTCATGGAACGCTTTAACTCGGGTCTGCGGGTTCCACGAACCTAAGTCCACATAGAGCGGTCGGCACACAAGGAATCAAACAGTGTAGCATTGAAAGCTTCCAAAAGGATCTATACATCATGAATTAGGAGGAATCATGATCTATCTAAATGAACAGTTCAATGGCAGCAGTGAAACGACCTGACTGTAGTAGACACTGTGGACACCGTAGACACTGTACACAGTACAGGTAACGTCTCATGGGGAACAACGGAAAGTAAGTGAAGATCACTATCTGCTCCTGTGATATTTCTCTGCTTTCCTCTATGGATCTGAAAGCAGCGGACATATCTTTTTAGGGTCATCCTCTCTTCCCTCCCTTTCTTGTTTCTCCATGTCATTCTTGTTCTTTCTATTTTCAGCCAATTTCATCTGACATCAGGGTTTATAGCTTATATCATATATCAAATGATTGAAGTGAAAAGGCCGAAAATGAATACCGTTGTTTCCTCCCATCTATTGTTTATGACATTAATAACTACTTGGTTCAAAAACAAACACTATGCTTTATCTGTTTCATCAGGCTTTCATATGTTTTCTTCATTGTCAATTGCGATCTCATATACAGCTGTAGTTTTGAACAGCTACAAGGTCTTGAAGGCACTTGAAGGAAGGAAGTCGCAAAGGATCGACGTGCAGGTTTGTTTGCCAAAAGGACTTCAAAGTTGAAACATTTGACCATTTTGGCCCACTGATGGACAATGCCACCGGGAAATACCGTTTGAAATACCAGGATTCACCATACTTGGTAGATACCTCGATCAATGGATGGTGAGATGGAATCATTGCACACACACACACACACCTCGTCCAACGATAAACATATGACATGCAAACATCCCTAGAACAAGAATAGGGCACAGTGTTCCGGGTCTGCTTTGTACGAAACAAATCAACTTAGCAACTTAGCAAGTCTACCGATGATCTACGGATGGCCTACCGTTACCGAGTAAATCAAGGTCTCAAGTTCCAGCCCAGCAGCAGGATCGACGTGTTCCTTGTTCCCAGAGAAGCTCTTGGCAATTCGCAAGAAGTTGGCCTCCAAATTGCGAACAAATTTGCAAAGACTTCAGTGTGAAATTCTGAAAAACTAAAATGAGTTAAAATGATCTGAATAATGTAGTTCATTCTGAAGCTCTCTTTGGGCCTCTTTTTCTCAACTGAAATACTGCTTTGCTCCCTGGCCTGGCCTAGTTACACGGAAGCAACAGAAGAGACTATATTCGACCTGTTCAAACTGTTCCAGCGCCTTTTTTGTTGGGACGTTTTGAGCCCATTCCCATCTACTAGATGATCTAGATGTAGATGATGTAGATTCTATTTTTTCTGGTCCACTGGTCCGCTGCCCTTCCCAGTTCTTCCCAGTCTTCCACCGCCTTATCCACCTTCAAAACCTCCGACATCTCTGTGGCGACCACTTTGCCTTCGGAATATTCGCACGCTTCATGTTCCAATTGTCCCAAGCACTCAGCGTGGACCACTGTAGGGAATTCCTCAATGTCCCAGCCATCCTGATGAAGCTGCCCGGTCATGAGAATCCAAGCTGCATCCTTAGCCAGTTGGATCAGCGCGACAAAAATCACAAAGCCTTCAGATATCTTCATGTAACATATGTAACACTGTAACACTTCAGACGACACAGAACTTCTCAGAACAATCTTGGAGAGAAAAGTAACAACCCGCAATAAAGACGTAACAACTGAAGCACCACTTCTATTAAGACTCTACTGGTTCTTTGCTTCTAAACGTAAAAGAAAACAGCCCTGGGATGTGTGCCAGGAACATGGAAAGACCTGCAAGCCGTTTCTTAAACTAACCAAATTGTTGATTCTAGATCTTGTACGATCGTATCATCTATAGGGAACTCTGACTATCTGTTGTTGGTTCTCATGCATTTGTAATATTAATTCACAATCTGCATCATGTCCATACTGACCTTGTTTGTCATTTTTCGTGCAGAAACGATATCAGTTGAAAAGAAAGTTGCTGCAGTTGCTTTTTTGTTGCTTCATGTTGCTTCCAAAAGTCAATGATCTCGCCCTTCTGCACCACGGTTTCGCCAGGCATGAAGTCGCAGGTTGCTGCAGCAGCCGCGAGGCGTAGACGCTGGGAGCGTCTGAAGCTGGACATCACGGGCAACTGAAGACACATGTGGTGCGACGCTTGGCATCGGAAGACTTCCTCACGAAGGTTTTCCGGCAGCACGTTCAACAGATTCGCCTCCTTGGCCTGTCACAATTCGAAGCACGATTCGGCTCCGGCTTCAAACTTCTTCAAACTCATAGGGCAAAAAAGACGACTGCAATGATGGAAAATGATGGAAAATGACGGAAATTGGCTTCGTAAAATTTGAAATGGACACCCAGCAGATCCACTTTCTGCTCAACTTTATAAGTGCACATGATGGAAAGATGAATTAACGGAGTACCTGAGAGCACCTGTGGCCCTGCAGGATCTCTTGCATCATGTGGCGAGAAACCACAACTGGCTGATATATCTAATATACCATACAATCAATACAATTAATACAATTAATACAATGAATCATTAATTTCTCTTGTTTTGGTCCAATGTGACTTCCCCTCACCACTTAGTTCAGTGTGTCACCTGGATGCGGCGGCGTGTGAAGAGGTGCGTCAGATACGCCTTGACGCGGCCCTGGACGTCTTCGGAGACCTTGGTCTTCTGCAGGTGCAGCCGGAGTGCCACGTACTCCTCGTTGAACGTCTTCCTCCGTTCCGAGAGTTTGAAGAAGCTCTGGGTGATCAAAGCGATGGAAATGGCAAAGGCAGACAGCGCAAAGAACATGAAAATCAGAACGAAGACGCGCTCGGGCAAGTTCACTGGCGTCACTTCTGCTGGCATAGTTCGCATGACACCAAGTGTCCAGTAAAAGCAGAAAACATATGTCTCTGAAATGCCTCGATGGAGCGCTGAAGCCAGGTGAAGCACAAATGGGAAGACAATTTTGCTTTCAAATGCAAGAAACGCAAAGCGAACGAAACGAAACTCTGCATTCTTCCAATTCGCCAAAAAAAATGATACCGTTCACCAGAAGACACTAAAAGCATCTAAAAGTTCTCCTAGATATGAACGGCTACAGCATGCTACAGCATGCTACGGCCTGGCCTACCTCCTGGTGTAATGAAGAAATGCTAAAGGAGTCTTCATAGGAGTTTTCATCCCAGGCACTACGATCCAGCCATCGCCAGGGTTCAGACTGCTCATTGGAATGACGTCTCCACACTGTCGTCCAATGAGGTGCTGCTTCATAAGCCAATTGCCTGAGGCAGAAACAGAATCAGAAGAATATGCGCAGAATGCAAACAGAAACAGACAGCTATGTTTGAAGAAACTTTTGAAAACATGTCAAAACCATGTCCTTCTTGCATTGCTTGGGCTAGGCTGTCAGCAGTAAGGGGAAATTGCTGGGACACTTTTTGTGAGACTATGATCCGTGGAGCAAATCTAATACTCCACCTCCATCAGAATGCGCAATTAAGGAACTTGTCATCAGAACTTCGGAGATTGAAACTGATGCGGGTGGCAATGTGGACAAACCTGGAAACTTGTCAGCTCATTGATCTGTGAACTTTCTGCAGGTGTAAGTAAAGAGTTTCTGCATTTCTTGCAGGTCTACTGACTTTGTTTTTTGACTTTCTGTCCGTAGACATGTGAGATATCATGAGATATCATGCATGTCTTAGCGCTGCTTTTCCTTGACCTTGTTGAATAAAGGTGGTCTAAATTGGTTCAGAGCATGCAGGCGCTGAGACGTCACCAGAAAGAAGACGAAAGACCACAGAGATTTTGTTTTGAAAACAAAACGCAAATGTCAAACCTGTTAAAGACATGCAAGGCATGATTTCGATTCGCAAAACAAATTAGATACAGAAATCACAAACAGTATAATTTGATAAGGATGATGTTATAGAACAAGTCGCCATATACCAAATATAATCAATAATACTTGATAAATATTAGTATAACAGATGTATAACAGCTATAACTGGCTATAACTGACGTAACGAATTGCTTTATTTGCCTTGCCTTGTGCCCTCGTCTAATCTCGTCTAATCTCCCCATTGAGCCCCATTGAGCCCACGCACCGTCTGCAGAAAGCTTTTCAAAAATCTTTTGATATCTTTTGCTGAGTTTTCTAAATGTCAAAATGTGTTTCTATATGTTTGTTTTCCATGTTTCATCATTTTTCCAATGTGTTTCGAGCCAGTTTTCTTTGTTTTTGTTTCAATTTTGGCATGTACCCTCTGCACTGCGGTCCTTGGCCCTAGCACAACCACCCACCATTTGCAAGTCATGGTGCTCTTCGTCTGACATAAGTTCGGTGAAGAGGTTCCGGGGCAGACCAATCAACCAAAAGAGGCAAGCACTCCAGTGACACATCGCCACCACCACACTCAACACCCGCAAGAGGGAAATGCATTGAATGATGTAAACGGATCCGATTCGAATCTCCATCCTTTCCCAAATGGTTTTCAGCTTGGCCAAGCGAAGCATGCGCACTAATCGGAGCAGCCTCACAAATTTCACTACCTTGGTGAGCCTGGTGAGTTGGGATGAATCTCCAGAGTAAAAGGCCTCAGAAATTTGTGCCCATGGCACGGCGCTACCGAAGTCAATGATGAACCAACCGCGCAAATACAGCTTTGCAATCTGACACCGATCCAAAATCAAAGCATGCTTCCCAGATTGGCGATCCCTCTCTCCTCGTTCCACAGCCGTGTTGAAGCTCAGCAAGATGTCAGTAGCAAACACCAAGGTGGTAATCCAAAGCCATCCCAAATCAAAAGTATCCATTTGATCGCTGTTCGCATTGCTCTTGAAGGTGAGCTGGAAAGGAAGGACAATGGCATCCATTAGGACGAAGAACATGACTCCAAAATCCCAGCCCAATTTGCCAATCCACCGTGGATTCAAAAGTCCGTTCGGAAATCGGTTTTCCTTTTCAACCACCATTGACTCCATGATTCGTTTGTCATAACTCTCCATCACATCGGCGTTGCCACGAATGCCCTGAATGCCTTGGCTAAAACCAAAATGGCCATGGTTGCCATGGTTGCCACTGCCACGGCTGCCGTCGTCGTGAAACTCGCAGATGTCGCCGAATCCGCCTGTGGCATCTGCGGCATCTGCGGCATCTGTGGCATCAGCATTTTCGTCACCTTCCTTGATGCAGGCCATGGGGAACACGTCTGGCCGCTCGAAACAGGGCCGGTCTTCGCGACCGAGAAGCCCAAAGCCTTTCCCACCTTTCCCACTTTCACTATCACCTCAGTTGCCGCAAAAAATTGGAAAAACATGTTTAGATTAGAAACTCATCATCAAAGAGTTTTGAAAGGACAGCGAAGAGGACCCGCAAAAATGTTTTTCTGCTCAAGTCTTGCCATGTTCACATTGTTCACTGATCTGCCCGCTCTGCAACGTCTGTTGGACACTGGCGAATCTCACCCGCAAACCATCCAAATCAGACTCGCCAGTAGGGCTAGCACTGATATGTTGCGCTCTTTGCCCTGAAATCGCGAAGCAACCCGAAGCAAAGAAACAAATCTCAGAGTGAAGCACCCAATCTTGGAATTCAAAGGAATACAACCTTGAATATTTCCAGCACGGGCCCTTGATGGTGAAACAAATTTGAAAGTCTTTTTCATTCAAATACTGCAGGGTACTCTCGCATAGAATAAGCACCTCTTAGCAGCCTCATGCTAGAATGGAAAGTGGAAATCTACATCACGAAGCTGGGGAGGGTCACACGACATTCTGATTGTTTGAACCCTTTGCCGCTTCTTTTGGGTCTCGTCTGCCTTTCCAAGTTTCTTTCGGGCGCGAAGGAAGGAGTTTTGAGAATTTTCTAACATTTTTTGGAGCTGACCCGAGAGCCCTTAGGCCCTAAGGCGGATCTTGCGCAAGCAAAGCGTGCAGGGCGTCGAATGCGCGAGGGACACGTCGCAATATGTCAACGCATCAACTGCGCCACGTAAAAAAAACAATCAATACCAGGAAGACATATCAATACCGTCAAGACCCAACAGGGACCCAACATCAAGTCGAACCGTTTAACCCCCATCCCCAGGCCCTTGCCACCTTGCTCCCCAAACCAAAGAAAGGAAACCTTTCGAAACCACTGCAATCGTGGCAAGTGGTCGTGTGCAAAACACATCATTGGCGAGGCTGGACAAACAACAAGTTGAAATCTAGGACATACTGGAGAGCTGGGACACTGGGAGACGGTGGAAGTGACTTGACAGCATTTTGGGTCGATGTTTAAAAATTCGTTCATGTCAGGCAGCGGTTCATTTCCAAAAAAACTGTTCTACAACAGGATATGAGGAAAAAAATCAAACCGTCTCCATTGTAAGTCTTGTTCCAAATTTTTGTTCAAATCATTCATTTTCCCCATTCAGTCTGCACTGATAATTCTGATGATTCGCGGTTTTCAAATGAATGGTCTCAATGGTTTCCATTGTGATGAATGTTTACCAGCTGCCCTGAATAGAAAGCCCCTTCACTATTCCATGAGAAGCAATAAACGGATTGATAATGTGGTTTTTGTTGTTCAGTTTTTGCTGGGGAAAATCCGGTGTTTATTCGTATCATTGCTGCCAAACCTTCAAGCAAATACTGCCGACTGTTGACCAATATTACCCGAAAAGTGGGCGGTTTTGCTGGAAATATATGATCAAGTCATTACGTTGTTTCGTTTATCAAGTAGAACTGATCTGCCTGTCTCGGTCTGTGTCTGTCTGTGTCTGTCTCATTGGATGAAGAGATTGACGTTACTAGAGATAAGTTGGTCCAAATGCCAAGCAGAAAATGATGCGTCAATAATCATGGATGATACGAGGTTCAGATACAACAAGGGAAAAAAATATCAAAAAATACCCCAGCATGCATGTATTCCCTAACATCAAGCGGTGTGTTAAGCAAGGCGCGGACATTCAGCATACAACAAATATAAATAGATAAATTGATTTGCATTTTTTTGCCAATACGCAGATAATATCCAAAATAGTGCCGGGTTGCAAAAGAAACACGTTCGAGGCGCATGAAGTCAAAAAATGATTGCACGTGAGAAATCATTGTGAAAGGAGTTCTTCGGTAGCTTAGCAGCCATGTGTTAAATTCAAATGGATTGAACATGAGAACGGTTACGGTTACTTGCGCAGGTATGGCTCAATTTTCAAACCTAAAAATGC